TACCTGCCGAAGCGGGGCTCCTCCCGTCCCGCCCTCGTGGAGAGCACCTGTGCTCATTGGCCGCTACAGCTGTCCGTCAGGCGGGGCCGCACCCCCGGCTCTGCGGCCCCGCCTTGTCCCTCTTTGTGCCTGGGGGACAATGGGGCCTGGCGGGCCCGGCCTTGGCCGGACTCCCAGCATGCTCTGGGGGCGTCTGCTTTTCTCTGCTGGGCCATGCTGGAGGTGATGCCCTAGCCAACCCCCCCGCCACCCACCCCCCCCCCCCGCGTCACAGGCCAGCTCCCTGACAGGCCCAGCGAAAGGGGGACGGCCACCCCCGGTACCAGCCACCTCCTCCCAGTGCACCCAGCCTAGTGGTCACAGCGAGGGATTGCCGGCACCCAAGGTGCCCATTCCTATGCCGAAGCCCGCAGGAGGCAGAGCTCCTGAAGGAACTGCTCCCAGCACTGGTTGCATCAGCTTTAATTTGACAGTGGGGTGTGGTGTCGCAGATGGCTCCTCCTGGCTGATAATGCTTCTCATTAGCTCAAAGCAGACCTTCAACCTGTGTGTGTAACAGCTCGGTTTGAGATGAACGAGAGTGATTGCGTGCCTCGGTGAGATCCTTCTGGGTCCGGTTCTGATTAGCCCCATTCATGCTGGCCTCCCAAGAGAAAGGACTATCCAGGAAGGGGTGGGAGGATGGGCATATCTTGGAGGGAGCTTCCTTCAGTGTAGTGAGTCACAAATTCATGCTCCTCCCTTCTGACCTCTACTGCCAGTGATTCAGATTTTGTTGTTTCAGAGGGTCAGTGTTATGCTCCTTTCTTTCTCCATCATCCTAATTTCTGCTGAATCTTTTTGCCATATGACATGCGGACTTGCTAGCCTAGCACTTTTCAACCTCTTGCTTTTTTTTCCCATAAGCTGAATGATTATAGGTCTTCTCAGATCAAGCTAATTATTCTTCTGACCCCTTCTTTATTATTGATCCCAATTTCCTCTCTACAACTTGAGCTCTCTGATACAGTTTTGTTTTGTTCCTTCCCCTGGAATCACAGCAGAGAGATTTAGGTTAGACATTGAAGGAAGATATCTAATGGAAAAGGAGATTAAGCAGTAGAATTGACTATGTGGAGAAAAACATGTTATCTTCTTTACTGGAGACATTAAAGAATAAGTTAGGTTGATTGTTCTTAGAGATGACTGTAGTAACACTGACCCTGCTGTGGTGCCGAGTGATTAGCTAACCAGTAAAGTTATTTCCAGGCACTCTGGTACTGTGAGGATGAGTTTGTTGTGCTATAGTCATATAATAGCAGCCTATATCTAATTTCAGCCTGTCCTTTTGTTATTTAGTGCAATGATTGCCGCACCTGCTTCAGACCTGAAGAAGGGCTCATGTGCTAGCAACTGACTGTTTCTTTTTCTCATTTTATCAGCTGGTCTCTTATAAAAGCTAATTCTTCTTCCCTCTCTGATAAATGAGTTCCCTCCCTTCTCCTCCCTGTACAAGGAGTAGAATGAAGCAGTTGTTGTGACATCTGCCTTTAACGCTGGCAGGCTGTCAGCCGAGGAGCCTTGTGGTGACACTGCATTTTTGGTACTCTTCTGAGTTCAGGCAGGATGGGAAGTGGAGCTGCACAGAGCAGGTACTGCTGTTCCTGCTGCCTCGTTACTGCTTCTCCTCAGAGAGCTGCCTGCAGCTTTTCAAGGCTGAATGTTATCCCCCCCTCATGTATGTGTGTGTATGAGAGGGGGAAATGAGGTACTGAGCTGGTGAACAAGCCAGACCCCCCCAGTCCCAGCTCTGCTCTAGTATCTTGGCGTGTTCCAAAAAGGACATTAAGGTATGTAGCTAAAAACTCAAGAAGGAGGTTTTTTTTTTCTCTCACCAAACAGTACGCTCAGTTTCATGTTTTCAGCAGGGAGAGTTTTGTAATATATGGTGAGAGGTTGGAGCTGTACCTCAGCACAACCTTAATATTCTTCATTGTCTAATAAGTAATTTTTAAGAGTTGTGTTCCCATCTTGCACTCCAACAAGCTCTCTCTGAAATAAATGGTCTGGGAGCCCTGATGAACGTAATGCACGTGTAAATAGACAGCATGGTTCAGCTGTGGCCTAAGCAAGTGCAAATTCCTTGACCTCCATGGAATTGTCTCTGTTGACATAAAAGAGGATAAAATGTGGCTTTGTAGTCTAAGTGGTGGCATTTTAAACAGCTGAGCTGTCAGTAAGGGTCATTGTGTCTTTGGTTTGTTCTTGATCTTATAAAATGTGTATCTAATAAAATAGTTTTACAACAATATGAAATGTGCACTCTCCATAAAAAGTGCTACATGGCAGATTGACTCTCTTGGTGATTTCCATTTAAATTTGAGTCCTAAATGCATCAAGATGAATGAATGAATCAATGACTAGCTACAGAGCTAGTGGAAGAGGTATGTTCAGTTACTTCAAAGTACTCACGAGAATTTTCCATGAGATTATCTTCCTTGACCTTTACATTTGACATGTAGTTTTTCTTTCTTCTCTTATTCTTTTGCTCAGATTAAAAAAAAAACAAAACAAAATGGGATGAAAGCCCAGCCAGGATAGTTACTGGTGGAAGGTTGTTCATTTTGAAATTCTTTTAAGTTTTAATAAATCGGAGCTTGTAGCAGAAGGGAGGATGCTTTTTTTTTTTTTTGCTTATTTGAAACAAAGGTGAAAAAACAGGTCTTTACTTTAAATCTTCTGAATCAGCCAGGGTTATTTCAAAATTTAAACCTTATCCTGTCATTGTATAGGAATCTTAAACTGGTCTATAATAAATAGATTTACTCAGTGCACACATCTTCAAAGAAGTAAAATGTTTTCAAGAAAAATTGACTAGGTCAGAAAGTGCTGTCAGGTCTTTGTAGTGTGGAGAGAGCAAACAGCTGTGCTCGGTTTATTACAGGCACTTGGAAGCACAACTGTGTTAAGTCCCATCCTACCGGCACTTTCAAAACAGTCATTCATCTTCTGAACTACTGACACATTTGGTTAACTTTGAACTTCAATTTGTAAATCTTAAAATGCATAACTTGCTGCGAGTCTCACCAGGACACACTGGGTAATTTTTGGCCTGGCATAAGGAAGTTTCGATCTCTGCGTTAAAATAGGAGCATCATTGTTCTCCTGAAACCACTTCCCAGCAGCAGACTGTGCTGGCAGCAAGATCAGTCATTATCTCGAATAAAATATTCAATAAGCACAATATTCTGATGTGGTTACGTTACTGTGTTTGATTCAACTTTTTTGCTACAAGGCTTGACAAAGGATGGTATTATTTCCCAGGTATAGAGTTGTTTATAAGATATGATAAGGAAAAACAAAATAGTGGTTTTGTGTTATTCCTTGCTTGACTTTGAAGTGAATAGCCAGAGAGTCTGTCTAAAAAAGTCTTTTTAAAGCTTCACAGGCCACTTTGTCACACCAGTACCTGTTGGTGCAGACCCTGGGAGTCCCTCTTGCTCAGAGGGAGTAGTCCTGCCCAGGTGCTAGCTTGGGTGTGCTCCTTGAGCCAGCCTGGCTGCAGGCATCTGTCAGGAGACGAGGATTCGAGCAATCTATCTTTTATGTCGTCTATAACTGGCTAGGTCTGGTTTGTAGAGTGTTCCTGATACTCATCTCTTACAGATGCATCCTGGCAAATCTGACTCTGGCGGTTTTAAGGCAGGAGTGCCCTGGCCCTGGTGGCAGAGCACACATGCTCTGTGCAAAGCCCGGCACCTTGGCTGAAACTGCTGATGACCGTAGCTTGGGAATAAGGTGCTGGACTGTGAACTGGAGAGGCTGGGGCCTCCCCGCATTCCTTTCTGCTGAGCCTGCTCTGGCTGGTAACCTCTGGCACTGGAACGGGGCAGGCAGCTGGGATGGCAGCATCAGAAACTCCTGCAGCCAGAGCTTGTCTGGCAGAGCCCTGAGCAAACTCATTTGGCCTCAGCCTCCAAGTGAAAGCAATGATGCTGACCCATGCAGAGGTGGTGGGAAGGGGAAAGCAGTGGAGGAGCTGTGTTGCTACTCATTTTAAAATGCCCTGGGGCAGCCAAAATGTCTTTTTGGCCTCTTAAACAGAGCAGTCCTGCTGCAGAGCCCTTGAGAGTGAACAGGCACTTCATAGGTCACTGGTTTCAGTGCAAACTCATATGCTTTTCTCCCAGTACGGGATAAAATAGAACTGCTCCTCTTTCTGCAGGAGAGCTTGCTCCCATGGTAGTCTGGGATTATCAGTGAAATGGCTTATCTGAGGAGATCCTATAAAAATCCGCTCCTTAGCAAAACTTGGGTGTTCCTGCAAGCTGCTTGTTGTTTCAAGATGCTGTTCCCTTGTGCAGGGAGAGGAAGTGGAGGAGGGGAAGGAGCCAGAACAGATCCAAGTTGATGATGGGGTTCCCAGGATGCCTCCGGATGATACCGATGGGGACAGGAGCTGTGGGGCCAGATGTCCACACTGACTCCCTGCCAGAGCCTCCCTGTGTCTGGCTTTACCCACTCTGTGTTTGCTGCTTGTGCTGCTTTGAATGTCACAGAAGGCTTTTTGGATTTGCGCCTTTCTGACTGCCATACCTAATCTCTTCTTCCTTGTCCCTTTTAAACAAGCCCTGTCCTGTCAGCAGTGGCTCTTCCTGCCTCCAGCCCTTCCCCTTGCAGTCTGACTGGCACCTTTGTTCTTTCCAGACTCCGGTCTGGTTTAGTTCCCAGTGTCTCTTCTAACCAGATTTCTGTGACCTGCCTCTTTAGTGTTAGCTAGTTTATCCACCACCTGATCTTCTTTTCCCTAGTCTCCACTCCAACCTGTTTCACATGGTCCTTTCCTACTCCCTTCTCTGACTTTATCCACCCTCCCTCCATCCTCTCTAAACCTGCTGCTTCTGAGAGGCCTACAGCTCATGTATTTATATGTTCCTCCCACAGGGCTCGGGCGTGATTAAAGCAGGTTTTGCAGGCGATCAAATACCGAAATACTGCTTTCCCAACTAGTAAGTATTCTGCTGGTCTTGGTAAGTTCTTAGTATGGTGTACCAATTCTTCGATACGTAGAGGGGAAGAATGGTCCGATTTTGTAACTGGAGAAATGAGTTATTCTTTTTCTGCCTGCTGCACAGAAGCATCAGGGAGAGGAGATCTCTGCTATTAAGTACTTCGAGATTTTTCTTGGGGGGGAAAAAACAAACCATAGAAGATGACATATCACTTTGTCAGGCTCAACAACCAACCAAAGCTGTAGGTTCCTTTAGTCTCGAGACATTAGGACACCAGGAAAAAGACAAAGTTGGGACAAGAGGTGAAGACCTCTATTTCTTTGGTGTGTGGTCTGACATTTTGATTCCTGCCAAACTTCCTTGGAAGTTTTCTGAGAGTTTTACTGGAAGGACTGCTGGATCAGGAACGCTGAATAGTTACTGGCTTTTATTTTCAATAGGGTGGGTTTTTAATGAGTATATTTTTGTTCTGAGCAATGTCTTCTGTATGGTGAGGTGGGGTATGGGACTATAAATGTCTAATCTGAGAAGCCTACCTGAGGTCAGGCAACGCAATGTGGATCTATCAGCTCAGACCATTGCTCAGTCTAGCCATGTTCACCCCAGGCATTGTTGGAACAAATAAGTCCTGAATCATCAGGGAAAGTGTAGCCAGACTCAGCTGGCTTATGTCCTGCCAATTCAGAAGTGTCTACACTCTGTTCCCTTCGCCTCTGATTCTGACATGAGCTCAGACAGAGCAAACCTGGGTCTGTCTGCACCTGGTAGTGCCTCAGACTCACCCATTGCTTCAGAAGGTACTGGTTAGGAGAGAGAGGAACACAAAGTAGCTAATCCTTGGGTGCATCTGAGCTCTCTCTCTCGAAGCATTTATACTCTTGCCTCTGTTCTAGTGTGGGCAGACCAAAACACGTTCGTGTTATGGCTGGTGCTTTAGAAGGGGACATTTTCATTGGTCCAAAGGCAGAGGTAAGAAAACCTGTATACTGCACTTCTCCATATATCTCGGTATGCTGCTGTAAGGAGGGGCTGTAGCAATTGTGCTTAAAAGGGCTGTGGTTCCTTGGTATCAGCATATAGATCTGAAGAGCAGAATAGATTGTCACTTTTAGGTGTGTCCAAGGTGGAGTGGGAAGCTTCGTTAAATTCTTGTGCCAACCTGCTGACCACAGACCTTTTTCCCCAAGTCCTTCTGTATCTCTCGTTTTTTTTCTAGGCTACTTCTAGGTCTGTATGGTTACATCCCCATCTTTTTGACTGGGAACTTTAGAAATGGACCCTACTTGGTTGCCTTTTATCTCCCTGGTGTGGGCAAGAAGCTTGCTTTCCACAGTCCTGCTTTTGTCAGCATGTAGTCATATGGTCTCACATTTCTCGTGAGCCCTCCGAACTACATTCCCCAATACCACTCTGTTTTATGTTTTAGATCATGACTGAGCTGGTAGAACAAAGATACCATTTGATAGGTGTCTGTATGTTGGCTTGAAAACTGTTAGGATGGAATGTGCTCTGCAAGTGCCAGATTTTCCTACTTGGTATAAAAAGGCCTTGTTTAATCTCGTGAATACTTCTCTGGGAGAGATGTTTGTGGTTAATGTTCAGTTTTTGCCCCATATGATAGAGATAAGTTGTCTTTTAGAGGAATCAAAAATAAGTGAGTCTGACAGATTAAATCATAGTCATAGTGCTCAGAAATGTGATTGTTTGTTTGAGTCTCTGACAAGTACGCTCTATTGTTTCTGCTTGCTCAGGAGCACAGAGGTCTCCTCTCGATCCGATACCCAATGGAGCATGGCATAGTGAAGGACTGGAACGACATGGAGCGCATTTGGCAGTATGTGTATTCAAAAGACCAGCTTCAGACATTCTCAGAGGAGGTGAGGTACCCCATTGTGTAATGGCACAGGCGTCATTCAGTGTGTGTATAACACCAGGAGCCTTGGAACTCCAAGAAAGAGATGGGACTTTTCCTTTGCTCTTCTTTCTAAATGTGTCTGTTGTTAAATTGGGCTCTTTCACTTCTTGGGAAGATACTGCACAAGAAGTGTCCAAGCAGAATTCCTCCCCAGATCTAATGTTCTGGCCTGACTGAAAATCTGACTTTCAACATTTGTTATTCACACTGTCTCTAATGATTCTGCTCTAGGCCAAGTGCTTCTAACTTTTCCTGTTCTGCCTGCGCATCAGGCATATCCACTCAGCAGTGACATGACTTGAAGTGAGGAGGGAGAAAACCACAGTCCTGTGGTCTGGAAGGAGCTGACCAAAAAAATTATTAAATGACTGAAAGCAATAGGTTGTATAAGTGGAGTAGGAATATTTCTGCCTGTTCATGCTAAGACCATATGCCTTCACCCTTTCTTAGGGTCTGTGTATTTTGGCTAATCTGGCTGACTTTTGGCACTGAGAGTCATCTTGTTCACCCTTCACAGGACAGGGTCACTCGCAGAGTAGATTTTCTAACATTTCATCATAACTAGACCAGAGTCCTGCTGGTCCTCCTACTTAATAGAGGTTATTCACAAGCTAAAACAGCTCAGTACCTGGAATTATTCCCTTCTACCTGTCCTCTTGCACCAGTGGTTCCTAAAGGGAATAAATATACAGAGCAGAAATTTTCAGGAACACGCATCTAGTTGCCTCCTGGTTATTGCAGCACGGCTCCTTTTCTTTACCAGCATCCTGTGCTGCTGACGGAAGCACCCCTAAACCCACGCAAGAACAGAGAGCGTGCTGCTGAGGTGTTTTTTGAGACCTTCAATGTGCCAGCACTATTCATCTCCATGCAAGCTGTGCTTAGCCTGTAAGTGTGTTTCATCTTTGATTTGTGCTTGTGAAATGTTGCTGTGGAATCCATTTTTTCACAAACCAAAAAAAACCCGCAGAAGACCACACTGATGTCTGACTGACCCCTTTTCAAGCAAGAACTGAAATTCAATTTTAATTTCTGTAATAAAGAGTTTACAGGAATTTGCTGAACTATGATGGGAACTAGGTTTTGGGGTTTTTCTAGCCCCTGTTCATGTGAAATCTCTGCTCCCTGAGTTGAGCCTGGATGTGCTGCATGCTTGGGGTCACTTTGAATTGCTTGTTCTGACTTGATTGTTTGCCTCTTTGCTAGCTACGCTACTGGCAGGACTACAGGAGTGGTGCTGGACTCCGGGGATGGCGTTACCCATGCAGTTCCCATCTATGAAGGCTTTGCCATGCCTCACTCCATCATGCGGATTGACATTGCTGGCCGTGATGTCTCACGCTTCCTGCGTCTCTATCTGCGGAAGGAAGGCTATGACTTCCACACAACCTCCGAGTTTGAGATTGTCAAGACCATCAAGGAGGTGATGCACTGTCTGTTTCTGTGTTTATCCAAGAAGGGATTTCTGCCCAAGGGAAGTCATGACTTGTGAAATCTAATGGGAAGTGCCAGCCTACCTAGCTCTGCACCTCATTTCTTTATCTACCTGAGTGACTAGGGCCACTAAGATGATTAACGGACTGGAGTGTCTCTCATATGAGGAAAGGCTGAGAGCTGGGACTGTTGAGCTGCGAGAAGAGAAGGTTGGGGAGGATCTCATCAATGTATATAAAGGTCTGAAGGGAGGGTGCAAAGAAAACAGAGCCAGGCTCATTTCAGTGATGTTGAGTGACAGGACAAGACGCACAAACTGAAGCACAGGAGGTTCTGTGTGAACATAAACTTTTTTACTGTGAGGGTGACCAAGCACTGGCACAGGTTGTCCAGAGAGTTGTGGAGTCTCCATCCTTTGTGATATTCAAAAGCCAGACATGGTCCTGGGCAACCTGCTCTGGGTGACCCTGCTTGAATGAGGGGGGTGGACAAGATGACCTCCAGAGGTCCCTTGCAACCTCAGCCATCCTGTATTCTGTGAGACTTACAGTCAAGGTCACATCTAATCCCTGTTGAGGGACTGTTGACATGGAGGTGAAGACAGGCTGGTGGTTCAGAATCTGCTTTGCATTTATCTGTGTTGCACTTTCTCAGGGTCTGATGATATCTTTCGCTAGTGTTTGTTTACCCTTCAGGGCAAGGCTCTGTAAAATCCATGGCAGGTAGGGATCACAACTGGGATATTACAAGTTGCTTTCCCCCCTGCCCATGAAAGAATTCACGCAGCATTCACGTTTACAAAAGCTTCCCCTCTTTACAGGGTTTGCAGTCTTTAGTGACCTTAGAGCTATGCAGCAGTTTGGAAAGGCATGATTAAGTTCCCTAGCAAAGCAGTTACCTTGGCTTCTGCTGTGTGCCAAGAGAGGAGGACAGAGGTGGGACAGCAAATAGTAGCTCAGAGCTGGTGACCGCTCACAGCAGCTTTGCGGCATTGCCGTGCTCACACAGATGGGTTGCGCTCTGATTTCAGCAAGGCTAAAGTGAAGGCTGTGTGTGACTCGGGGCTGCCTGTGCATCCATGCCTTCAGTACCATGGGGTCAGTCCTCAGATCGGTACTGGCTGTCATGCCTGGCAGTTGCTGCCATGTTGCAGGCCCCCATCACAAGCTATGATTGCTGCAGATAAGTCTGGGCTGAGTCAGCAGCCTGTGCCAGGGCTTGAGAGCGTTAATGAGCTATTCTTGAGTCTGTGACCTACAGGCAAAGGACTGTAATGGAAATAGTTTGCTTGTTCTGCATGGCTGTAGCTCAGCGTGGCTGTGCTGAGGGAGCAGTGCTTGTGCTTCATGTCACGGTACAGCTGAATGGCTTCTGCCTGTTGCCCAGAGCAGGAGACTGCATAGGGTTGTAGGTTTTGACCCAGTAGCTGTTCTCTCTGTTCTCCAAGTGCTGATTGCTGAATGGGAGAAAAAAGCTGACGTGTGCAGATACTGCAGCATCTGTGGACCAGAAGATCTAGTGATCGGAGGCTTGCTGGAGAACTCTTTGCTTCAGAAGCAGCCTGTTTTGTACCAAGCATCAGTTGCAGTGCAATTGCAGTGGTCTTACGGGACAAAGCAAGAGACTTGTACTCTTCATAAATGGCCAAGGCTCTCTTTGCATCTTGGGTGATGAAACTATTAAAAGACATTGCTGACTTAAATGCAGTGTCTTGCACCAGTGCAATCTTTTCTCTGGACTATATGCTTGGGGAAGCAAAGAGCAGGGGAAAGTGAGCCAAGTCCTGCTTTGCATACTGACTGCTCTCACCAGTGAGACTGTTGAAGGGAGGAAACAACCTGATGTTCGCTCTCCAGCCTACACCTTTTGCTTTACTTTAAGATTAATTTTAGCTGGGGAAAGTGTTGCAGATTTCTAGGATATATGTGCCTGGAACTTGCAGTGAGATTTCTGTTGATGCTGGTGCCATTTGTGACTTGATTTGCAAATCTGAGGGGTTGAGTGTGGCTTCTTGTGTTTGCAGCTTTCTTGCCTCAGGAGAGGTTTGGATATGCAGCCTGAATGTGCCGTGGCAAGCACAAAGCTGAGATCCTGGACATGGGAGTTTCTCAGTCCCAAAAGCTGCTTGTGATCTATTGGAGTCTGTCTGACTCGATTTTTTTTTTAAATTTTTTTTTTTAAATTGGAGTCTGTCTGACTCGATTTTTTTTTTTTAATTTTTTTTTTTAACGGGGAAAAATATTAGGAAAGAAATTTGGGGATGTTGAAAAGTCTAGAGGATAAATTACCTTGAGAGGGGAACCCTTAATACCCACTTCAGTGCAAACATTGTTCTTTGTTTCTTGGTTTACTGTGAGGTACACCAAACATGACTGGACAGGGTTTTGGGCAGCCTGCTCTAACTGACCCTGCCTGAGCAGGGGGGTTAGACTAGGTGATCTCAAGAGGCCCCTTCCAACCTAAATGTTTCAGTGATTCTGTTTAGAGATTTTTTTTTTTTTAATCCCCAAATGATAACAATTTGGAATAACAAAGCTTACTTTGGAATAAAAAAATATGGGGTGCTGGAGCAGTTTGAAAAGTCAAAGTATTTTGTTTCCTGTAACTTAAAATGTAGGTGGGCAATAGGAAGTGAGCAGCTTAGATCATGTTAAAAAAATTTTTTGCTGTTAGCTATTAGTTATCGTTTATCCTGTTGAAATGTAATAATGGACTTTGTTCATGCTCCTAATCTGCTGCAAAGTTACCTGAGCCCACCTTTTATACAAGGTTAATGTCACTAAAGGTTTCAGGTGCGTGTTTTACGTTGCCCTACAGTAGGTTGGAAGCGCTCACGGGATAGTTACCTCATCTGCACTAGAGGGAGGTAACTTCTAAGCAGTAAGAGAGAGCTGGAAGCAAGAGGTGAGCAGCAGCTAGAGGGGAAGTGGGTATCCTTGATGTCTTTAATCATCACATGGACCTGTAGCATGAATAGATATTTTACCTGATGTGAACCCAAAGGGTCTTTTCCCCAGCACAAAATATTGTTGAAATTGGTCTCCCCAAGGGATACATGGATTTTGATTGTTAGCGAGAAAAGTATTTTATCAGAGGCATTTGGGGTCTACCCTTCTCATCTCCCTCTCCCTGACTCTGTTTCCTCTCCAGCGTGCCTGCTACCTGTCAATAAACCCCCAGAAGGATGAGACTCTGGAGACCGAGAAGGCTCAGTACTACCTGCCGGATGGAAGCACTATTGAGGTCTGTAAGGACCACCCTCAGAGGATTCCTAATGTGAAGCACAGGGTTTCCAGAATAGCCTTCTGCCTAGTGATGGGAAACTTAATGTGGTGTTAGGTGGGAGGGGATAGTTTTAAAAGACCAGAACTCATCCTAGGCTGTTGACTGGGCACTAGAATTTTTAGGGGGAAGAAAACATTATTAGAAACCTCACAACTTCTACTGGAAATCCTGGGTGAGGATGCAGCGTGACCATGGGGACTCTGAGCTGTTTGAGTGCAGGCTCTGATCCAGCAAATCTCTATGTGGATCAGGTATGGAGTGTGGGTAGTTATCAGCGCGCTAAATTCAGCAGTGGTTTTGTGTGTGGCTTTTGTCCTGCCTAGAGGTGCAGAAACAATTGCTTTGAAGAGTGAGTTAGGAATACTCCTCAAAAGACTGAGCCCTCTATAGAATGGTTAAGGGAGAGGAAATACAGGTCTTACCTCCAGCACCAGGGGTGGATCTGCTCCCTTTTCTGCCAGTGACCTGCTGTATGGGGCTGAGCAAGTTTCTTCATCTCTTTCATCTGCAAAATAGAAATAGCGCCTTTTCTAGGAGCAGTAGACCAAACTGGCGTTCACTTGGGAGCTAGTGATGCATGAATGTCCAGAAAACTTCATTACTCTGAAGTTTCACTTAAGAAAGGCAGGCCCAAACTGTAGACAGTGAACAGAGCCACACTGCTCTCTCTTCCCCTCTGTGCTAAATTCTCCCCTTGCAGATTGGCCCAGCCCGTTTTCGAGCCCCGGAGCTCCTGTTCCGGCCAGACCTGATAGGGGAGGAATGTGAAGGACTCCATGAAGTGCTCGTTTTTGCCATTCAAAAATCAGACATGGACCTGAGGCGAACGCTGTTCTCCAACATCGTGCTGTCTGGAGGCTCCACGCTTTTCAAAGGTTCCTGTCTCTCCTCTTTCAGTGGGCTGTGACATACCTGATCTCTTGCTTCCTTCTCATGTGAAACTGGAAAGATAACCTAGATCACCCAACTTGTCCTGTGGGGTGAGGGCTGTGGGAACTCTGCTCTGTTGGGTGCGTCGTGTGTGGGGCTGTGGGTGGGGGGGGGGGGGGGGGGGTAGTGTTACTGTCTAATTTTCTGAGTCCCTGTCATACCCTTCTGGGTATGCAACACACCTCTACCCTTGTACATCACTTCCTGGGCTTGAAGGGCTTTTATTGCTTTCCTCCTGTCACTCTGCTTGTGTCAGGACTGAATAGCCGTGTTCATTCCTGCTGCTGTAGTTCAGGATATTTGAGACGAGGTACCTAAAAGGCTCTTGCATTTCCTAAGGTTCCTTTAGGTCTCTGGTGCATGAGAGAGTCCAGTGCTCCTGGTACTGCATGAAGTGTCAGCTACATATGTAAAAGATGTGCAGAAAGCTTCCTACCCATCCCCTCAGGGCTCAGCTGGTTCCCATCGACTTAAAGATATCCTCTGCCAGAACCCGTCAGCCTTTTATCCACAGGTGGACATCTCCAGATAGGTCTGGTCTTCCCGTTCAAACGCTGTTCCCCCGTACATAATGGGCTGGACACAGGAGGAATGCCCAGGGAAGGAGGAGGTCCTAGCTAAAATTCTTGTTAGCTTGTCTCAAGCTGCTGCTGAGGGATAGAGCCCGCTGTGCCAGTGTTTGAGGTCTGAGTGAGACAGAATCCCGTTATCTCGCTGGCTGTGTTCTGTGCCTCTCCAGACGGGTGTCTCTGAGATCTGGAGTGGGATATTTGAATAGGACTGCAGCGGACACATCCACATTGTTAGTAGATGGAACCTGGGATTTCGCCGAGGGGCTCACACTGCGCATTTTCTCTCTTGTATAGGCTTTGGTGACAGGCTGTTGAGCGAAGTGAAGAAACTAGCTCCGAAGGACGTCAAAATAAGGGTAGGAGCAATCTCTTGTGTTTATCACTTACTATGTGTGTTGTTCTGTGGCCTTTAAAGAACCATGCTGAGAGTGCAGCTGCCATTTGCTTCAAACCAGAAACGACTTTCCTGAGACAGCCCAACAGTATTTGCTGTTGTGATGAAAACCTGTTTGGTTTCATCACTGAGAAGGTGGCTCCTCTGACAACGTGACCCCTGTCCAGGATCCTGGGCCACAGTGGCTGTTTTGGGGAGGCTGCTGGGTGTCTTTCTGGTGGGAGAGATCATACCTATGTTTGTCAGCTGTTAGCTGTAGTGAAATGGGGGCAGTGTGCCAGGAGGAGCAGACTGGAGCTTGGGAAGGCACTGACTGATTCTCTTTCCCCCAGATATCAGCTCCTCAGGAGAGATTGTATTCCACGTGGATTGGGTATGTACTGCACAGTGACACGTCTTGCTGTGGGATGAGGGCTGGGGGGGCGCAGCCTGTCGGCACTCACACTGTTGTCCTTTCTGATGCTGTGTGTCAGGGGGGTTTCATCGTTCAGCTGCGCGGTGCTCAGCGTGTTACTGGAGCAGCAATCAGCAGGTCGTTTGGGAGGGGGTGGCTGTAGTGCCAGCACGTTTGAGGATAAGAGGAGAGGAAGTGATTGTCCAGAGAGCGTTTCAGTTGTAGATAACTGGGAGCTCAGCACCTTTCTGACATGGGGAAGTGTCACACAATAGAAACAGCTCATCTCTGCAGAGATGGGATGAGAGTGCCCCCAACATCTTCCTTTAACCCATAACATGCCTGTCTCTCCCCAGGGGCTCTATCCTGGCCTCACTGGACACCTTTAAGAAAATGTGGATTTCGAAAAAGGAATATGAAGAAGACGGAGCTCGTGCCATCCACCGAAAAACCTTCTAGTGCTGGGACCTGTCCTCAGTCTCCTCCGAAGACTCACTTCAGTTCTAAACTCGCTTTTCTGAGTCCGAGTGTCTGAGAGCTGCCTGTGTGTGTGTGTGTGCGCCAGCATGCCCCGATGTCACTGAGCAAAGACAACAGCAGCAGGAGGGTTGTATCAGTACTACTAACTTCTTATTTTTTTTATTTTATTTTTGTTGGGTTTTTTTTAAATGGAAAGGAGGAAATACCAGTCTGAATTTCTCCAGAATGGCCCATTCCTTTTTCATTTCAGTCCCTTAATTTCTGTATCGCAATCACATTTGTCACTGTAAAACAAACAAGCAAGCAAAAACAAAGGGAACAGCTTATAGAAACTGCCTAGCAAGCCAGAAGGGAGCCAACCACTGCAGACTGCTCACGCAGGCTTTAGTCAGCCCAACTGCAATCCCTGGATTGTCTGGAAACACATAGCTGAGGCCCCATAGCTACTTTCTTCAGCAGCGTCTTCACCATCAGTAGGTTTTTGAAGTTGTTTTTAATACATTTTTTATTAAGAGAAAGCACATTCTCAACAGTTAAGCCCATTTGCCCCCACTGTTTTTGGTGCGTGAGTGTGTGTACGCGTGTGTAACTTCTTAGCCTGATGTGTGGGTCTGCACCACAGCTGGAGAAGTTGGTGATAGGACTTAGTTTGTATTGCATGGAGTAGAACAAAGCAAATCTAATCCGCTATCATTGTACTAGACGGTTATTCTCTCGTACCTTGTTTTAAATACCTTTTCTCCTGTGGAAGCAAGTGCCCCAGAGTGGGGGTGAAGGCACTTGTGTGTGTTCCCTCAATCTGCCAAGATTCACAGTGCTGAGTTCTCATGTTCTTTCTCTGTAAGAGTCGAGGCTGTTTCCCTCCTTCCTGCCGTGTCAGGGCAAAGGGAGCATGTATTTGCAGCCAGGCATAACTCTTGTGTACTTTATCCATTCTGGGGCAAAATAATAATTGGAAAGGTGCATTGTAATGTAAGAATTGTTTTATTTATTGAAATGTCTGAGGATGTCTCAAATACTGACCACAGCACCTGGGAATTATGCTTTGGGTCTTCTTTGAACACCTGTTACCCAGCAGTCTGTTGTTCGATGTTAACACTGTTTACAGCACACATGCTTAGCGAAATAGCCAGCCCTGCGGCACCACCCCGTAACTGCTCTTTAGCGAGTCTTGCTGTTCTCTATGAATACACTAAATGAGAGGACAATAAACTGTACCGGGACGTTGGTGGGAGCAGCAGGTTTGTGAGCAGGAAGCCGTCACGCTGGCTGTGTTCTGCTGTACTGCGTATGCCTTTCTGCTCACCTGGTGGCTGCTTTGCTTCTACCGCTTTTCAGCGATGGGCAGGCCTACAGACCCGCTTGCACTGGGTTGTGCTATGGTTTCCCCTTTAGGTTTTTCTTACGCATTATTTGGTGCTCTTTTCTTTCTCCAGTGTGGATTTTCTGCAGTACCTGACAGTAGCAGTGGAGCTGGAGTTGCTCGGTGGCGGTTCCTCCCTGTTCCCCTCCTTTCTGTTCATTGCCACACATCACCTTGGGGTCACCCTCGAGTGCAGAGGTGGGGTAAGAGCTGGAGGGCTGCTGCAGAGGTGCGGCAAAAGCTGGTGCAGTGCCCCGGCTGAGATGAATGTAAGCAGCAGCATGCAATGTGCTGCCCCTGCGGGAACCACATTCTTGGGGCTCACCGCTGGGCTTGGAGAGGCTGGAGGCAGGCAGGTGCGGTGGTCTCTTCCCAGCTGAGGCCAGGTTGCTTGTTCACCTACCCCCATCAGAGCAGACTCTCTTTTTTAAAGCAAGAACCTGTCAGGTAGAAGAGAGCCGTCAATGCTCAGCCTTCTGCTGGAAAATCAGTTGCGTTCTTGCTGGTTTGCTGCAGTGTGCAGAGGGGAAGCAGCAAACCCCTCTGGGTTCAGTTACCACGTGCTCCAGGCAGTGCCTGTGATCTCTTCCTCCCCTTCCCAGCCCCTCTGCTGGCCTTGCAGAAGCAGCAGTGCTCCATTTTGTAACCTGCAGTGACCGGACAGAAAGGTGCCATCTCCAATCTAGCATTCGTTTGATCTGCCTGACTGTTCCCTCGCACACTGTCCAAACCATGTTGCCTGGTGGTGCCCAGCATACTTAAATAAAGTTATTCATATACAACCCTCAAGCCTCCTGGCCTCATCTTCCCACATTTGCAATTTTAAGGAGGCAGCTTGTGTTCTTCTCTTGCCTGTGCAGAATTGTTGCTGGCCAGTCTCTGCAAGGAGACACCATCTCTGGTCCAGGACTGCCTTCCTGATCTGGCTTTTGAGCTGAGGGAGGAGAGTCCCAGGCCACAGCTGTGGTCTGCACTGGTGGTGTCCAAAGCTGCTCTTCTCCTCAGCAACCATTATATATTGTGTTTCTCACTGCAGACAGGTCAAAGGCAGCTGAGGGGGAGAGAAGCTGTGCGCAAGAGGGCTGGTGCAGGCAGCGAGGGCAGCCCTTGGCTGAGCAAGGGTGATGGGAGCGATGCCACTGTTGTGAGAAGAGCTGGTGCCAGCCCAGGCGCTTGCCGAGAACTAACATGGCAAGCTTTGCTCCCAGGGCAAGCTGGGGGCGTGGGAAGGTGGCACAGTGCCCAGGCCAGCAACTGTCCCCAGCCTCGTCCCCAGAAGCAGCTGGTGAAGGAACAGGACAGTCCAGTCCCCAGGGCCTTCCAAAGCAGCAGGGGTAAGTGACTTGCCTCCCCCCAAAAGGCAGGTGATACACCAGCCTGCTAATCCTCTCTGTCCCCTGCAGAAACAGGCCCAGGCCCCAGCACAGAGTTTTGCTGGGGAGGAACAGTCCCATTTTCTCCCATACAACCGCAGTTGTGCCCCTGCAACACTGCACGAACCCAGCCAGGTTAGATCCACCTGCTAGAAAAATCACCGAGCAGTACAGAAAAGATCATCTTTAATTTATGAAATGAAGAATCATTCTCAAACTTTGTTAGAAGTCACACAAATAACTTATGATGGAACCATCAAGAGCTACAGAAGCCTCGCGGCAGGAACGTCTTGGTCCAAGACAGAAGGCAGCCATGTCCTGAGGCAAGATGGCAGGTTTGTGGGCTGAGACCCCAGAGGGAACCTGGCAATAAAAGAACAGCATGCCCCTAAGCACGCACTGGCTTTCAAATGCTGCCCCCACACCCCCTCCTCCTGCGGGCATGCACAGGGCAGAGCTCTGCTTTGGCACATCTCTTCTGCCTGCCCCAAACATGTTGCAGGGATTGAGGAAACGCTCCCTCACCTCAGGGACCCCTGGCGACTACCTGCCCCATCTGGTCCCAGCCAGAACCAGGGAGACCAAACCACCTGCTCTCCTCCTTGGGTCCATGGTTTGGTAGCCTGATGAGATGATCAAACTCTGGGGCACCATTTCAAGCGGAGAGGAGCTGAGGTGTCTGTCTCTCCCCACAGAGGTAAAATTTCAACCCTGTGACTGCCTAGCATTGTGTCAGACAGGCTCCGAAGAGGAATCGAAGGCACAAAAGCAAGACCTGGTGTCTCCTCCAGGCTGTGCTCTCCCCCTGCAAGAGGGGAAGGCGCCAGGCTACCTCACTGGGTCACCTGGGACAGCCCTGGGCACGGAGGCACTTCCATCGGCTGGGTTAGGGGTTGGTTCCCTGACCTCGGCCCCACAGCCCCCACCAGCATGGGAGGGGGCTCACAGCACAGCTGTGTGACAGCACTGACCAGAAGGGGCCATGGAGAGGAGAGGAGGGATAAACACGGGCAACAGGATGCCAGATGGTATGTTCCAGCTCAAGACTCTCAAGCCCAGTTCGAGCACAGTGCCTTTCCCAGCCCAGCAACAACTCTCTCTGCAAGGCCACGAAGGAGGGAGCCTCAGCGTAAAACAAGCACAGCCAGCAGACCCTGGCTGTGCAGGGTATTGTCCTGGGAACAAGAAATGCCTAAGAGCGGATTTGGTCCAAGAAGTGCAGCGCTGTATGTGGGAGGGGTTGTACCAGCTACTGGGAAAGGCCTTCAGGGTCCTCTCGTCCCTGCTCCTGCTGTCCTACAATCACCCCCTCGGTCACTTGGTCCCTCAGGAGCCTCCCACTCCACTCCCCAAAGCTGCAGGGCTCTAGCAAGGAAGGACTCCCTGTGCAGCCTCTTCCTGCTCAGTCAGAGAGGCTGCAGTTGCCCAGGGCCATGCCCAGGGCAGGGGACTGCACCAGGGATGTGTCTGTCTCTAGCACACGCTGCAAGCCAGCACCTCCCTGCTGGGATGAGCAGCCCTCCGCTCCCTGGGACAGGCTAGGATAAAATGTTCTTGCTCCTGTGGCCAAGCGATCTATCCCAGGCCCCTCACACACTGAACTTCTCTGCCTTCCCCAGCGACCACCTCCTGGAATGAGTAAACATTGGCATTACAGCATTTCACAGTTGAACAGTAAACATCAGGGTTTCTCAGCCCACAATCCCTGCGCTTAGCCTGCAGTCCTGCACCAGCCTGGAACCAGCAACACCCCGGGGGCTCAGGCACCCCTAGATCGTTTTGACCTCTGGTGCTCGGCCTTGCATCAGGCTTTGGCGCTGAGCCTTCACCATCTGCAGACGCTTCCCATGCAGGCTGAACTGAGACCAGCTGAGGAGCTGCAGCAGTGCACACGTGATGGGTACGAAGACGAGGAGGTAAAAGCAGCCCTGGCGAAGAGTGGGCTCCAAGGCTGCGGCAGACTCCAGCTTCGGCTGGGCACTCACCACGTTGCTCAAGGGGTTGCGCTGGAAGATGTCATAGCCTGGTATCAGAGAAGAGTTTGTGAGACTGGGGACAGTGGGGATGGACCCTTGTCCATTTTCTCTGAGTGACTGGCCTTGGAGATGCAGAGACCAGGCACAGCTTAGCAACTGGAAGAGCCCTCTGCACCCACCCGGGGCACAGGACATGGTGGAGGACACTGAACTCACAGGTCTGCCCCCTCCTGCCCTGCTGCTTTCCCCAGCGGCATCCTTACCTGTGTATGCACAGAGCAGCCAGGTGCCGATCAGAGGGGCGAAGGTCTGGCCCGGCTTGGTGACCAGAGCCACCATCCCAAAAAGCAGCGCTGAGGCCGCCTGCTTCCTACGGTTCAGGACTAGATCCTCATCCACCAAGTCGGTGACCACCAGGTTGAGCAACTTACAGGTCCCTTCTGTGAACACCCGGTTGCTGCAGAACAACAGGCAAAGCATTGAATAGGGGCACCAAGAAACGACAGGAGTAGGTGAGGGATCAGAGAAAATGGAGAGAGGGATGAGAAAGGTTCCCCCAACACTTAAAATAGGAATTTCAGAAGGCTACAGGAGGGGAACACTGCTAGCAATAAGCCTCGTGAACCCCGCAGCGATGCCTTGGATCAGTCCTGACCTGCCATACAGACAGGCCTGGGGACAGGACACTGGGCCAGTGGCTAACAGGCAGCTGCAGCACACGCTGAGGGCTACGGCTGCAGAGGAGAGGAGCTCAGCTCAGCAGCTGGGAGAGGCTGCTGCAGGCTGCCACCAGCCCTGCCAGGTCTCTGTCCTCCTGAACATCGCTGCCTCCCTCACTCTGCTGCAGGCACAGCCAGCGGATTCTGCAGTGACCCGTCCCAAGCTCAGGTGCGGTCAGAGCTGGGAGCCACATGGCTCCTGTGTCACCCTGGCTACTGCTCCCCACCTCCCACTCCTCTCCGTAAAAGAGACAAGTCATTTCCCCTCCCAGGTGGCAGAGAGCAGGGGAAGCGAGTGCTGCCTGCCTACCTGGCAATGAAGATGCAGAGTAGGTACACCTGATCAGGTCCTGCCAGGAGCATGGCAACGCTGAGAGCCAGCTTCAGGAAGAAGAGTCCTCGCACCACAGCGTAAACCCCACAGCGGCGGCAGAGGGACAGGAAGTAGAGGTTGTTGAGATGGGGGGCAATGTAGGAAACACCTGAGCAGAGACAGAGGCACAAATAGCTTGAGGGAGTTTCAGTATCCACCATGCCCCTAGGACCAATACCAAGAGAGGGGACAAGGCTGGCTATCGCCAGCAGGGCTGTAGAACACAAAGTACAGAATAGCTTCCATGCACATACAAAAGGCTGCAGCAGATTTACTCAGTGGCTTTGTGGCACAGCACACACTCTTCCTACAGAGGGAAGCCTTCTTCCATCAACCTCATGGGCAGGAAGGAAGAAAAGACTTGCCCAGTGTCACGCAGGGGTTGGGACCCAGCCCTGGAGCAGAAATGAGAGGGGCAGGACAGCGTGACCAGACCCGGCCTGCACAGAACCCTCCCAGTGTAACTCTAGGACCCGTGCCCACAGATCTGTGGCAGCCTGGAAATGGTTCATATGCCACAAAGAGAAAGGGATTAAATTCAGGGCTGTGGTCCCTGCTGCATCCTGGGGACACTACCTGCAGCCACTAATGCTCAGAGTAATACCTCTGTGGTGTCTAGGCCTGAGTCCAGCACATTGGGCTCGTCACCAGTAGAAAAGGCTCCAAGTTGCTTCTCTTGTGACCAGGAAGGACGACTTGGAGGTCCCAGGGAAGCATGTGGGGTGTGAGCATGTGCGAATCTTACAGCCCAGAGACCAGCATGTAAGCACACCTCTCCCCAGATGGAGTTTGGGAAGAGCGAATCCAGACTTGGGCCAGGTCCTAACCCGGCTGCTCCCTCCAGTCCCACCTGAGACTCACCGAGCAGGAAGGATCCAGTAGAGACAGAGATCTGGTCTGACAGCAGGTGCTCCAGGAACAGAGGGAAGAAGTTGCTGTTAAAGTGGCAGTGAAAAACCTGTGAAGGCAGCATGCAGACGAGCTGGTCAGCAGGAACAGCAGTAAGAGAGAAAAGAAAAAGCTAACAGCCCTCTGAGCTCTGTTATCCTAGGAGCCCTGTGTCAAGGGACCATGCAGGATGGGCCTGGAGTACTTCAGCAGAGCAAGAGCTTGGCTGTGGAGTTTATGACACCGTAGGCTGAGACTGCAAAGCTGCAACACCACCCGCCATGCCCACTGCATGCCTGGGGTCAGTAATGCTTCCCAGCTGCCAAGGCACTGCTCAGCACACAGTGCTGCTGGGGCAGGCAGGGCAAGGAGATGACAGCAGTGAGGACAAGGGTTTGGGGGAGACAGTGGCACGGCAGGAGGGAGGAGGCAGCTGTCAGGAGGACAAGGATAA